AACGTATTTCTGCGACGGAAAAATTCGAAATTATACAGCTTACGTTAAGCAGGTCGAAAGATGGTTGTCATCGATGTCGCCGTCGTCGTCATCATGATCGTCGCCGGTCTTGTGCAACCATGTGCACATGGTCCTTCGTTCCGTTCTCCAAAGAATTGGCGGTATACTACCGATATGGCGACGTACTACCGTTCCGGGCGATTGGTAGAATCGACTTCCGCGGCTGGCCGTCTTTCCGGAAGGGAAAGGACCCGGGCTGTCCATCACAGGTGAGTGCACGTTCATTTGCGAGGTGCACGACGCGCGCTCGTCGCCGAATGACTGTACATACGTCTCGAGAGTTCCACCTTCCACCAGTTAGTGTAGCGACTCTAGCCAAGTTGGAGGAGGAGAAGGTGATAGAGGCGGAGGAAAAGGAGGATAGAGGGGAAGGGGATAAGTGGAGGTTACGCGGGGCGATGTACACGTAAGACCGCGCGAGAAGAGCGCATGGCGTGTGCATATGCGCGATTTCGTGTCAGAGCAGGATCTCCTCCCTCGTCACGGCACAGGAATGTTTCCGAAAACGTGGACAAGTTTCTCTCGTCCATGTAGTATTTCTGGACTCTACACATTGTAAAATTTATTTAATAACCGCAAGCCATCTCGCGACCGCAAACGAGTAGACCTTCGCGAGTATAATCGCGACACACGATATTTTCCACATCGAAAACGCATTGTATTATATATTTCTTCCTTTCTTCCTTCCTTTCTTCGAGTCAAACTCAAAGAAAAAAGAGATCACGCAAAGAATCGAAGAGGATCTCAGTAGAGAGATTGAAATTAATACTGAAATTTGTAAGTAATCAATTATAAATGTAATTAAATAAATATAATTTAAATTACAATGTAATTATTTGCATTTCAAAATTTGATTAGTCGTACGTCCAACCGTGCCTTAAACTTGTGTACTAGCCATTGATTTGTAACTATACACTCTCTAAATCTGAATCAATGGATAATCACTGATATCAGTGCCAAGTATGCCACTGGTAATCAGTGAATTAAATGTGAGATTCCTAACCTCCTAAAGATAGCTAATTTTTATTATGTGATCTAATTAACTTTGTTTTAGTGATTAAATTCAATGAATATGGTATTGGAAGATTGAAAATAACGTACAAATATCAGTATTTTAGTCATATAATGCTCAAATATTCTTTCTTTTTTAGTTGAACTTTACTGATTATCAGTGCCAAGTATGCCACTGGGTAATTAGTGACTATCTACTGATTCAGATTTAGAGAGCAGGAAACATGATTATTAATCGCGCGAAGATGGAACGATGAAGAGCCGCCGCGCAGGAGCCAATATGACTGTGGATGTTCATGAGTAAAATATTAGAAAAATTTCTTGTTAAAAATGGAAATCAAAAGATTCTGATCATATTCATCAGAATTTTAATTACATCAGCTAGGATTATAATACAATAGGTTCAATCAGAAAATTCTACAATCAGACTTTTTCTAATAAATATACATATAATAAACGGGATCCGTTGGTTAATCAAATGACAATCAATTTATTGGATATCTGGCAAGCTCCCTTGGTACTAAACAACCCTAAAGTTGAAATCATAAAGATCTATTGTTGTAAAACAGTCAGGCAAAATTATTTAAAAGTCGTAATATGGCTATTTGCTACCAATGCCGTTAGAACACGATCGTATACACGAACGCACAACGCGTCGCTGTTATTAACACAGGCGTCGACAGGACATTTTTTATCGGCCCCTATGGTAGCGGCGTTTGCTGCGGGCACAGCTGAAGGAAATGGGAGAATATTTTAACGAAAGCACGCTACAGTAATCGCTGTTAGGAGAAGAATCGCCATAAAAGACTCGTCTCTTCCGCTTGCACGCTTAGAGGGAAAACGATTAGAAATACAAATTTAAAACACAAAAAAAAAGAAAGGAGCTACCTATAATAGAGATACAACGAAGATACAGTAATAGACAGAGGGATAACGACAAAAAAAACAAGCATAAATATTATATGTTCATATCTTACGTCTGATGCATTATTTGTCGCACCGCTGCTGGTGATTTCTGATTTGTTTTTCGAGCTATGTAAAATTATTTTTGATAAAAAAACACAAAGAGAATAAAAGGAGGACGAAAGTCCAAGAAACAACAAGTAGAATGATACTGAAAAACATTTGATTAAACCAACAAAAAGGTCCAACAAGAATAGCGTTTTGGATACGGAATATCTCAGATAACCAAGAATTTTGTTTATTCTCACCAAAATGTTCATTCTTGTTGGAGTCTTTTATATTGTTCTCTCTCTCTCTCTCTCTCTCTCTCTCTCTCTCTCTCTCTCGTCAAAACATTTTTTTCAGGATACACTTATAATGCATAAATTATATATTCACGAATATATACAACGCTATATTCATGCGACTCCACAGCCTTTTACAGTCTTTTATCCCTCGAATAATTTTATAGCATCATACTGTTTACGAAACCATGAAATTTCTAATTAATGAGATCGATTGCGGGGTGCGGAGCAAGCAAGCGTGTTCCGCGAAAAAGATAAAAGAACACAAGCTTATGGAAAAAAAAACTAGTTCGAATATCGATGCGTTGAAGTAGATTGAAAACAAGCGAACAGCGTTAAGTTGCAAAGTAGGATGATTAGCGAAATAGTAAATGTATTGCTAACCTTGGCAAATTTTCCAAAAGACCTTCCGTATCTGCTTTTAACTTTATTGCACAAATGGCACTTCGTTTCTACGCACCTAACTTCCACCACAAAAGTCCAGGTCGACCTGTATTTATAGGCACCCGATCAGGAGAGTAGCCATAGTCACTATCGTGCTGAAAACTGAACGCAACCCCCGACCGTATACTTATCGTTACTTCTGAGCGTTATCGAAGCGGCGATGAAACTGCGGGGTGATACACGACTACTAATCGAAATCGATCGATCGAACCGTTATTATATTATAGGATACGCGCGTTTTTCTCGTTGAGCTCCTCGTCGAATCGATTATACACAATGCGCGCCTACGAAGAAATCCTCGTATTCCGTGGATCCACGAAGAAGTAGATCTGATCTTCCGCGCGTTTTACGATTGTTAATAACGGTTTATTCAAAAACATATTATTATATACGTTATATTTTCTATTTTCTTTTTTTTTTTTTGGAATCGTGCACAGCTGTTCCGTTACTCATTGTGTAAACGCGTGGAAATGTCTCCAACACTCGTTATCGAGTTTCACCGGGAAACGAAAGATGAAAAATATGGAAAAATTGTTTTATTGTTCGAATTATAATTAACGTATTGGGCAACAACTTTCTGAACTGATGCGCTCGTTTCGATAGACTCCAAGGACTTTTAATGCACTCACGTAACGATGCATAGGCGATGAATCATCGCATCCTTCTGCCTTCCATTTTCTGCCTTTACAATATAAAGGAAATGGAAAACCGACATACTCTCGTCTCTCATGCTTTCGGCGTGTCATCGATTATCAGGAATGAAGAATGACGTGGAGAAAGTTTAATACACAAAGTTTAATATACAATGTTCTCTCATCGTTACTCTAACTTACAACAGTTGACATTTCAAGCTTTTCTGATTTTCCTCGCAGTCCTCGCAGATTTCTTTAAACGCGTTGCGACAGTTTTGAAATTTAATATTAAATATTATTAAATATTAAACACATCCGATAATTGTTTCAACGATTAAATATAATGAATACATACAGCTGACAAAGAAAAAATGGAAGGGAAGGAAAAGATTCGGTAAAAGACGATTGTTGATTTGCCTGAAAGAAGAAGTAAAAGAAATTCTCTTCCCGGAGAAATTCGTGACACATTCCACGGCAAGTGAGACCGATCCTTTGTTGATCCAAGATACGTAATAAAGTGTAAGAACGCGGAGATGTGTTACCTGCTTATCTTCCGTTCCTAACACACGTTTAACACAATGAAAGACTGAGACATAAAACAAATTTGAAATATTTCGGGCCGAAAATACAGTAGGTATTGCTTAGGTCTTTTCTTAAGTATTTTTAATTATATCTTGTCACTTCCATTTTCTTTTCTTTCATTGTGTTTTTGCGTACAGACACACGTTCCTTTTTCCGTCGGGGTCAAAGTTCGCTTTTGCCTCGGTCTGTATGTTGAAACGCTACTTCTCCGCATGCGATCGTCATCGTAGTTTTGGAAATGTTACGGAAATGTGCTCCGACGCATATATACATATATGTGTGTGTATATATAGAATTATATTACAATGTCCTACGTCGACGAAACAAAAGCCTCTTATCTAGGCGCTGATAAGGAAAAAATAGTCTTTCCGCTATTAACAATTACTATCGGTATCTGCTAAATAATGCCAAACGGCTAGTTGTCGTTATCGCAAGCGCATTTACTTCGCACGCACACATGTACAAATATGCGACATGCATGCACGTATATTATCGTATTTACAACTTAATGGCAGCAGCAAGTAAAGACAATGAATCGCTCTATTATTACAATGATGTAACAACAATGAATTATCGCGGTGATGTGGAAGCCCCGGGAGTATCAACTGCTAACAAGGAGAGAAGGTGGACGACGCTCTTTGCACGGTTTATAGGTCACGTAATCGCGAACGGTTCTTACATTTGAAAAGGTGATAACTAACACGTCGAACGTTCGCGAAAAACCTTACATTGCGTCCGTTTGAAAAAAATGTGAAACGAAGAAAGAAGAAGAGCAAACTTCTTAGTCATTGTTGTCGATTACATTTCCATTTGTATGCAATGTCATATCTTTTAATCAATGATTAATTGATGATGGAAAAATTAATTATATAAGAAATAATTATGTCAGCCGTTTTCATTGCTTCTCAAAATACCACAAAAAGTTACGCCTAATGCAAATAGCAAAACGTTTTCCATTTTTTTTCTCGACCGTTAACAGCTCTCGCGGCAATTATTGGAGTTATTTAATACAAAATCGACTTACCGATTCCTTGGACTTTATCTCGATGACGGCTCTCTGGAGCTCACAGTTCTGTCGACGCAAGAGAGAAATCTGTATACGATACATAATTCTTATGTAAGTAATATATAAATTAAACCTCTATATAAAAAAAGAAATTGTACGAAGATAATAATAACTGAAGGTCATAACTATTGCATATTAATATATATGCCAATTCCTCTTCGTTTCTTTCCTGTGTACGTGCACGTGTCATGGTATTAAAAAATTATACTGAGCAAGCATTAATATTTATTACTAGATTTTACTATTAATATATTATTAAGAATATTTTTTTAGTTTTTGCGCTATCATTATAGATGATAAGTTCATCGACAAGCGAACGAGAGCAAGTCGTCTAAAAAGGATGAAAAATAAAGAAATTCGTGGTATTAAAAGATTATACTGAGCATTAATATTTATTATTATAATTTTTACTGTTGACAAATCATAAGAATGTTTTAAATTTTCACGCTTAATTGATAATAAGCAAACAAGTCCCTCGACAAGCGAGAGCAAATTGCTTAAAATGGGGATCGGAAAATAAAGAAATTTGTAAATTTTCAGAGTTTAACGAGATTATTACTGTATATTGTCGATTTTTACAGATTGTTATCAGGCTACAGCCGAAGCTTTTAACATTCGACTTTAACAATCGAGTAAAGATTCTTTCTGTGAAATTCGAAAAAAATCTCACCACAAGCTGATCCGGATCATTTAAAGCGATCGCGCCCCGGATCCCCGACTTAAATATTAGGAAGCACAGTCAGAAGGAAGTCCGGTGGTGCCCCATGGATACAGGATGTACGATACGCGTTTACATTTGCTGCTCTTATCTTACGTTTGCATTACGATAACGGTCCCCCACCTTCCACGATCCTCGATGCGTTATCTCACATGACCCTTGAGTACCGCCAAAACTCTCCTCTTCCTGCGGGATACCTTAGCAAGGCTTGAACTTCCCATTTGTCGCGAGATAGAAAAAGCGTCAAGTCATAGGTATAGGTATATGTATATAAAGTGTCTGACAAATCATACGTTCTTTCGCAATCCAGGAAATATCTTCAACGAGCTTGAAATCAGGCTTTCCTTTCTCTACTTTCCGGGGTACCTAATACATACTTCCCGCCGTCCCAGTCTATCATCTTTGATCGATCTAAAAGATCCGTAATATCGTTCTAACGGATAAGGCGGAACACGATGTTTGCTCTACACTCGTTTGCGATTATTGGGGAACGCGACATCTGTTAAAATAATTTCTAATCATAACGTAGCTTTTTTCTCTTATCTGAACTGGCAGACATCTGTGCGTATATCAAGTGCGACCTTTTTTATTTTTTTTTTCAATGTGGAAAATACATCCACGAAGATTACAATTTAAAAGAAAGTCACGTATGTACACATTGAATTAAAGATTAATCACCTGATGATTTTTGGATCTTTTTTTCACAATTACAAATTTATATATAAAATGATTATACAAAATATTACTTTAAAAAAAAACATGCAAATTCCAAGAAATTATATAACAATTATAAATATTAATTTATATAATATAAATTAATTTATATGATACAAATGCATTCACCTCTGCATCTTTCGTGGTGAGTAAATCCTGCAGTTGGATGCATCTTTCGTTTGCCTCCTTCAACTCCTTTGATCGTTCGTCTGGAAGTAAATGATGATCATGTATAAGAATCACTTATTACATATTTTATAAATCGTATTAATCGCTGTTATACTGAAACTTATATTACTAATTTTCTAATTTGTACACGAGAAAATAACTAGAAAAGAATTATGACAAGAGTTATGACGTGAATTATTACAGCAATTTTTAATTAAATTTCTAATATCTATTTTCCCACAGAAATTCAAATAGAATATGTTGATAAACAATCACGAATAATTACAAAAATTAAAATAATAATAAACTACACGTAAAACTGATTTATAAAAATAATTCAGAAAAAAAATAAAATAATTAATTTCTAAAACAATAATAAAAATTAATATCAATTGCTGTTTCCAAATCCATTCATATTCAATGTAATATTAATTATATTTAAAAAATGAATTTTAGATAAAGGTTTTAATTGACAATCATCAACAATCACAGAAATTGATATAATAATAAAGCTACATATGGAATTAATTTGTAGCAAAAAAAGAAAAAATACAACAAATCTAATGAAAATTAGTATTAATAATGTTTTTAAATCATATTCAATGTAATATATTAATTATTGTTTCTAATTATTATACATATAGTATATTATAATATTTATTTTAAAAATGCGTAAATTCTCACAGTTTTAATTGCGTTATATTGTTAGCAGATTTATATTTTAATAGAAAATTGTATATAAGAAAAGACACGATCTTTTATATTATATAATTTATATTGATCAATATACTGTTTTGATTACAGTCGTTAAAAAAGATTTACAAGCAAAAATAGACCAACCACGTGATTAGGAACTCAAGCGGTAACAATTTCTCAGTCGATAAGAAATAGAATCGTCATTTGACAGCCGTAACCTAACCCTTTACTGGAAAAACTACGCGTCATGAAAATATCAAGATCTGGAGTCGTGTTAAGGATTTCGAGACATTAATACGCACCTATTTCGTCAACGATACCATCAGATAAAACCTCCCTCGTGAGATTCGTGATGTGTCCTTTTAAACTGGAGATACTGGATAAACTGTCACCGAACCACGCCATTTTTCCCGTTAACGGTGAACGTCGATTGTGTTATTCGATAAGTACACTGGCATTTATCACTGTGAACGATCGTCGTGCGTATGACACATTGCAATGATGGAAAACTTCAATTCGTTATGTCTATGCGAATTACAAAACATGCCAACACGTATACACTTGACAGCAGACAGGTTGAAACTCTTTCTTCTCGATGAGTTTTGGAACGCACCGAATTGTAAAGCTCGAGCCTTAGGCCTTAGAACACATACCTGCTTCTAATGGCTTCTGCACACTGAACGCGAAAATGCCACGCTTACCGCGCGACAAAATATGACACGGTAGCTAATAAGCTCATAGCTCCGAAAATGTTCATTGGTTACCGTGTCGCATTTTCGCACAGTGTGCAGAAACCATAAGGCTCGAGCCACTTGTTCACGGAGCTGCACTGGCTGCACAGTGAGCGATTGTACCAACTATCGAGGTTGCCTACGTACAAAATGTCCAATCAAATTTTAATCGTATATTTAATTTGATTTAATTTAAAAAATTACAAAATTAAGTATTAAGTTTAATTAATAATGTATACAGCATGCCAGATAAAATTTCAACGATTAAAACAATAAAAATTAGTGATTTTGGAAACTGCAGAAATTTCTAGAGATCATAAAAAATCGTCAAAATTATAAAAACAAATGATGTATTCGGATACAAATAAAATAACAAAAGAGAATTGAAATACTTATCTTCCAAAAAATCTTAACATTTATAATTATTGGTGCGTTCCAAAACTCGTCGAAAAAAAAGTGTTTGAATCTTCTTATTGAGTGTGTATATCACTACAATACGAAATATTACAGCAACATTTATGTGATATTTCAATAATTAATTCAGTTTCATTAATTGCTTAGCATGGCATTCTAAAATATACACGATAAACTTATGATAAAAAAAAAGTTCGTGGGTCCAGAAAGTATATCCATAAGAGCTTGAAAATCTTTAGGAGACTCGATTTATATACGCGCCTTCTTATAGGAGATTGCTGGATGTCTTCTTCTTATGAGAAACGCGTCCATTTCATGACTGTGCCACGTACTTATACCTGTCGAATTATAATATTGCAGCAATATTTTGTAATATTTCTTACAAAATATTAAAATTATAATATTTCATGATGTTATTGCAATAATGCCAATAAAATACTAAAATTTCAATATTACTGCAATTTTTGTAATATTGCACACTATTAAAATATCGCATCTCGAAAATATGTACCTACTATATTTATAATTTTTAAGATAGTATTCAATTCGATTTTATATATTTAAGAAGTTTGATTGTCTTATTAAAATTTCATCTAATTAATAAGATGATTAGCACAACCCCTACAGCACAAAAGTTGCAGCAACAATGCTGCAACATTGCAGCAATATTGCAGCGTTATTGCAGCGATATTACTGCAAATTCTATGCTGTATGGGAATATTATTAAATTATATTTAAATATAAAATCGAATAATTATCGAATAATATTATCGAATAATATTAAAATCGAATATTAAATAATTTTTAAATTTTATATTATAAATTTTGATGACGAATTTTTTATAGTAAATTCGAAGAATTCGAAATTTTCATAGTAAAAAAACTTAAAGTTAGGTTGTACCTCCATTGTATATAAAGAATATTTTTTTTAAATAAAATGTTGTATAAAGATATATAAGATTATCAATAAATATGCGCGAAGTTTTTTATATTTTCCTGTTATTTTATATTTTTATTTTACTAAAGATTTTAATAAAGTGCTAAATATATAAAAGCGCGCTGTTTATCTTCTTGCTCTCATATTCCATTTATTCCAATATTGTATTTATCATAACTCGATGATTGCGAGATTATTATATCTTGGAATTGTATCATTTGTGAGAGGATGTACATACGTACAATTTATAACATACGAATGATTGTAATTTCGAAAATGTTATCATAAATTATCGATTTTTTCCGTGAGTGCGACGTCCGTGTGTGTTGCTAATTTATTTTTACTGAAAATATACTTGCTGCGCATGGAAACTAATGTTATTTCTGTCGTCACATCTCGCTCATTACATACGAAAATTGGAGAATCACTTGATGAAACGCATGCAAATCGCGTTTAGGAAGCACGGGGAGAACCTCACGAAGCACAGTTTTGTTTCCATTATCGCTCGAGATGTCTACGCCAAAATAAGGAAGAAAGTCTAAGCATGCGTCAGTATATAAAAAATATGTCATATAAATAAAAGTAGAACATGAATATAGAAGATGTAACACAAATTATAGTAGTCAAACATAAATGTTTATTATATAGCATAAAGGATTACATCTAGATATATACATATATATATAATACAAAATTATACAGATAATAAAATTAAAATACATCAAATAGAAGTCATTATAGGAAAAGTCATAATGATGTCACTCAATACTTTTATTATCACGTCTAGAATTCATCACAAAGTCATCAGAAAGTAAAAATTGTATCGAATGACATTATTATGATTTTTCTTAAATGACTTCCATTTCATCTTATGATTTTGTGTTCTATCTGGGGGGACATAAGAAATACAAATATCTACGGGGTAAAGTTCGCCTTGGCAAAAATAAAAAAATCGGATCAAATACCTTCCTTACAGTTCATATATTCATATATGTTCTAGCCGCTAGCGGAAACAGAAATCAGAACGTAAGTCGAGAATGTAAGGGGAGAGTGACAGAAATGTAAACGAAGCTTTTAGAAGACAAAAATTGAGACGACGAAACATAAAAGAAACATAAACGCCTCTTTTACGTTTCATTGTCTCAATTTTTATCTTCTTTACGCTTTAGCTTCGTTTACTCTCCTCCACTTCTGTCACTCTCCCTTTACATTCGACTTACGTTCTGATTTCTGTTTCCGCTAGCAGCTAGAGCATATATGAATATATGAACTGTAAGAAAGGTATTTGTTCATGTCTTTTGTTTTTCTCGATTGGTAAAGGTTATTGGTCTCGCGAAAAGATGTTTTGCATATCACTGTAGCGCAGAAAATATTCTGGGTAATCAATATCGTGTGTACAATAAAAGTGACACGGAAGAAAACTCGAAAAATAATCTGCGGTTACTCGACTGGTCGTGTTGGTATAAATGTGATAGCGCGTGCCTTTCACGCCATTCTCTAAAGTCTAGATACAGCGATAGAACGAAATTGCGGCGTTATATTTCGTAAGTATAATAGCTTACTCTTACATTTATTGATTTATTAAATGATATTCCTTCAAACGACTCCGCGAATCTAAAAGGATAACGAAATGCAAAATGCTGTAATAAATAGAAACGTCGATAAGAGTTTAACTTTAGATCCGCGTAAACTTTAGATCACGTTACTCCTATCCTGCAATCTACTAAAAAGCAGATAAACATCGTTTCGCACCGCGTAAAGTCCGCTTCTGACATTTGCTGAGCAATAATGCGCTTTAACGTCGTTTTAACGTAAAGCTCTTTTTTATTTTCAATAGTTTTACATTTACGTCAACTATGCTGACACATTTCGGTGCGACGAAATTGCACAGCGCGATTTTAAATAGCGCGAGGTCAACAACACGAGACCTCGAAGTCATTATTCTTCACACGATAATACCGTTATATTGGCATTTCATATTAAACGTGAATTTTTCTATAAAACTTCTTTGAATGGGTGCAACAGTAAAGAAAAGCCTCGGGTCTTAGTGGTGGTATCTCCGAAATAATTGCGCACGTGGTTCATCCCACGAAAATTTCTGTCGGCGCCCATGGGACAGAATCGGGAACGATGTCGAACACCCCTTCTCTCCCAAGAACGCGATGGCGAGGAAATCCCAGGGTGAGGGAGATGGGGGGCAGGGGGGGAGGCAGAGAAGAAGTCCGTGGTAGTAGGGGTTGGTGGTGGTTTCGATGATAGGGGTGGCGCGCGGACGCGAGCGCCATCTGGCCGTTCAGTGCCCGGCCACCCTCGGTACATCCTGTGTGACTCGCGCTCGCGGCTTCCGGATTATCGCGGCTAGTTTAGCGGGCCCAAGGATTGGGACACCAGTAGTGCACCGTGCCTTAAATACAGTGACCAGTGTATGCCTTGAACGCGACGCGACAAAAAGGTAATTATCACGCCAGTAGTGACGGTGGCGACGGCGACGGTCGCGAGAGCGGTTGTCTTTCTCACACGCTTTCTCCCGTTCGAACGTGAGATTTGTGAAGCAATGGGAAGAACGGAGGTGACGGCAACTATGACGTCGGTGGTATCGGAGTTGTGGCGTAGAGAGAAAGTGGAAGTCGGCGGAGGCGCCGACGTTGTAGATACGATTTGCTCGCAAGGATCTTGGTTACTCGCGAAGCGATGCCGAGAGCGATGCCGAGAGCGATGCCGAGGCGCACGCGATTCGACGAATCGATCCGTCCGTCTGCCGCGGGCCGCCCCGATACCACACGTACGGCACGATATTCGCGCGAGTACAAGTAGAGAGAATCGCGACGTGTGTATCCGATCCGCGCGTCGGATGGGAACGACGTCATCGTCTTGGAGCTCCTGCGCGAGGATGTTGCCAATTGTTATTCTTTCCCTTCAGCCTAGTCTCTCTCGGCCGTGAGGCCGATATCGGCGACGTAGTATCGCGGCGACGACGGGGGCGAAGGCGCGCGATGCGATTCGCCCACACGGGAGAGACTCCTCGAGGTTCGCTTACCGAGAGAGGTAACGGGGCGCGCGATATCGGCCGCTCGGTCACCCGCGGTGGAAACGTGGGCCGTCACCTCCTCGTCGACGCGCGGCCGCGTCCGTCGAGTCTGCCTCCCGCGCGCGATTGATCGTCAGCGGCGCGGCGCGACGCGGCGCGCGTCATCCGTCCATCGCATCCGAGTGATCCGAGTCCCACTTGCTCGGCGAGTAGTACGCGAATAGACGCGTGCCCGGACGACGGCGACGACTCTATTTCCCGGCGAGGCCGTGCGACCGTGCGTGCGGAGACGAACACTCGTGATTTTCGTGATTTTTCACGCCGGTACATGCGCCGTGTCGCCGGATCCCGCACGTTGGATGCACCAGAGGAGAACGAAGATGCGATCGCGGGATTCGAACGGAGTTTGAATATTTACGGGATTCTCTCGCGATCGCTCCTCGATCTTCACTGACGTGTCCCTCCTTCCGGAAGAGATTCTAATACGCCGCG